TGGGTTGTTTGTGGCATGTACCAGGGCTGACAGTGAGGACCGGGAATCAGTGCAGGGCAGGTTCCAGTAGGCCGCACCTATGCTGTTGGGAGTGTGATGTTCAGCGCACGGTGCAGGTAAGCAGGAAGGAGGAGGTAGGATGTGATGTGTGGAGTTAAGATGGGTATGGGAAAGATGAGAGAGAGGGGAGAGGAACAGGAGCCAAAAACATACACACAAACAAAAAAGAGTGCTAAGGGAGCTTGCTATTGGAGTGGAAAGATGAGAGACTGAGAAATGGGGAAAAACAAAAATGAAAAAAAAAAAAGGAAAAGGGTAAAAGAAAAAAAAAGAATAAATTGAGAAACTGTAAATGAAGAAGGACAAAAAGGGAATAAGAGAGAGAAGAAAACAAAACAAAAACAAAAAACCAAAACAAAATAAAAAAAAAAAAGAGATGTCCCTGTGTGTCTGCGTGGAGTAAGGGAGTAGCTTCCAAGCCACATGGTTCTGCCCAGCTAGAAGGGGCTCCCAAGCAGGGAAAAGAAAAAGAAAACAAACAAATCAAAACAGAACAAATCAGAGCAAACAAACAGAAAATCCCTGGGTGTCCCACCAGCATGGTGGCATGGGCCGGGAAGCAGTTACACGGTCGAGCAGTGTTTCGCAGCCTTTCAGGAAGAAGCAAAGATGGCGCACGGAGCCAGGTATCTGACAGAAAGGAGGGGGAGGTGGTGAAAGGTAAGGAAGAAATCTAAAGAAGCAGAAAAAAAACAACACCAGCAGCCAGCAAATGGCACTCAGGAAGCCGGGCAGTACGGGCGGGTGGAATCCAAGCAACACCAGGGGGAAGCTTGTGCTTCCTGGCCAATAGTCTGTGGCTGCAGGAAGCAGAGGAGGCTAAGTGGGGGTGAAGAAGGATGAGGGGTAGGAAAGCCTATATCACTGGTTACCGGTTGTTCTGTCTTCTGCTGGAAGCTCCGTGAAGCTGCTTTGACCTACCTCCTGTTCGCTGATCTCTGATAGGAGCCCAAGATGGCAGATTCGTGCTGCGGTAGCTGATAGGGGACCTCTGTATGTATCTGTCCTCACTCTCTGTTCTCGGTCAGTTTCTTATTCCATTTGGTGCTTGGCTGAGTTCTTTATCTCTTCGTTTGATGCTTAGGGTTTCAGGATTGACGTGCGACTTTTTTTTACTTAGTTTTTTCTGATCTTTGCTGCGGAGGGATGGCGTGGTGCTTTTGACTATAGCGCCATGTTGCCTGGAAGTCCCGGAACATTCAGTTTTTTGATAACCATTGACAGAGCCTTAAGAGCATATACTCTGGAATAAAACAGATCTGGTTTGTGCTCCAACTCAGATCACTCAAATCAGCTATGTGACTTGAACAAATTTCTTACCCTCTCTAATCTGTTTGTAAAATGGAGGTAATACCACCCATCTTGTAGATTGCTAGTGAGGATTAAATGAGATGAAGGGCTTGGGATATAGTTACAAGTGAGTGAGTTGACAGATGCTACAACAACTATGGGTACTGTAACTCAGAACATCTAGAATCCAAGTACTGACTGGCACAGGTAGCTTGTATGATTTGGCAACATCCACATGCATATTGTTCTTTTTTTTATTTTTTCCCATACAAAAATTTATACATACATTGTTATGTGACCCTAATTGCTTTCCCTATACTGTGACAGCACACTTCTCCCTTCCAACCATGATTCCCCATGTCCATTCAATCAGCTCCTAACCCTCTCTGCCTTCCCATCTCACCTCCAGACAGAAGCTACTTGAGCTAAGACGCACACTCCTCATGAGTATCACTTTATGTCCCACAGTCCAGTCCAATCCCTTACTGAAGAGTTGGCCTCAGAAATTGTTTTAGTTCCTGGCTGACAGAGAATCCAGGGGCCATGCTTTCCAGGGTTCCTCCAGTCTCAGTCAGACCATTGAGTCTGGTCTTCTTTCTAGAATTTGACTTCTGCACCCCACCTTTCTCCTGCTCCATTCCACATGCATATTGTTCTAAATCAAATCAAATCAGTCTTGACTCCAAATCTATAACTGGGCTCCCTCCCTTAGGCCAGATTTTCAACAGTTGAATCCAGCCCTCTGGTGTCCAGACCACACTGGTCTTCGATGTTATATGCTTTGTCCAAGCCCTGGGCCCCTGACCACAGCCAGGAAGCTTCCCTGCTGTCTTGCCATGCTTGCACATGGACATTTTGGGAAAGGTTCAGGATGCCAACATCAATACCAAAAAGCCATATCCCACTGAGATCCTGCCCTTCCCTCTTCTGCCTTTCCCCTCCAGGCAATCTTCCCCACTCTCCCCTCCTCTTTAGGAATGTAGAATTGAGCACATAGAGTTAAAATGTAGAGAGGAAAGGTGATGCTAAATCTTGTCATCTCTCCCAGCTAACTCTCTTTGTTACTCATAACGGTAAGTTCTGGGAGTGCCACATGCTGAACCCATTGTGATGCATCACTGCACAGCTGGCTCGTGTGTCCTTGTACTACATCCAAAGAAGGTCAAGCCTTGCAGGACTCCTCGTGTGTATGACTCATTACACTCAGGAATTGCTGATCTGTAGGGAGCCCTTTGAAGGGACTTCTTTTTGCTCATCATTCCTCGGAGCTGGTTAATTTAAAATGGACCTGCAGTGAGAATCACACAGGGACCCATTCACTTGGGATTAGATAATTGTGACATTTGGTTTTGAAAATGAAATCCTTGGTAAGAACTGTTTCTGGGCACAAAAACAAAATGAAAATAAATGAAAACACAAGATAGCAGCAGTGGAAGCAGCTCTACCCCATACTTTTAGGGTGCGAGGAGGAAGAGAGTAGGAGTGGGTAATTATTCTCTAAAATATCACGTCACTAAAACCTGGTCAAGGGAGAGCTTTCCAGGGTGGAACAGACATGGGAGCAGCTGTGTTCCTGGGGCTTGAGTGACTGCTGCCATCTTGGCGGTGTAACTGAGGCTCTCGGGCCAAGTGCGCACTGTGCCCACGTCAGCCCTCCGTTGGCTAAGGCATTACAGAAGCAAAGAATGTTAGGTCTGGCAAGGATTTTGGTTGTCATATGGCTGGCCACCTACCTTTCACAGATTATAGGTTATCTCATTTAATTCTTTCAAGGAAGGTCTGATTTATCCTGTTGCCATTCCTACAGATTAGGGAGGCCCTATAGTTCTTTTTTGTAGCCAGACAGCTCCCAATTCAACTGCCAGTTACTAGCTATAGTGCTTTGCCAGTTACTACTGTACCCTTGGGCAGTTGTTCAACATACTTCACTGGAGTTTGCGAGGATTAAAGGACATGATGTTTGGAAAGTGTATTGTACAGTGCACCTCCCCGTCCGTTATATCGTCATCATGTTGTTGTTAGCTGCCATTGAGTCAATTCTGACTCATGGCGGCCCCGTGTATTACAGCGTAGAACCGCTCCATAGAGTTTTCTTGGCTGTAATCTTTACTGAGGCAGTTTGTCAGCTCTTTCTTCTCTGTAGCTGCTGGGTGGGTTCAAACTGACAACCTTTAGGTTAGCAGCTGATTGAAAACCGCTTGTGCCACTCAGGTTCCTTATCATCATCATCATCATCATCATCACCACAAATAAATAATGTTGGTTTTGGTGGGTTCTCTGAATCAATTCTGACACATAGCGACCCCATGTGACAGAGTAGAACTACCCCATAGGGTTTTCTTGGCTGTAATCTTTATGAAAGTAGATTTCCAGGTCTTTTTCTTGCAAAGCCAATGGGTGGGTTGGAACTGCCAACCTTTCGGTTAGCCACTGAGCAATTAACTGTTTGCACTACCAGGACTCCTTGAAATAAATCATAGCTGATATCCAATATGGTATTAAGTGCTTTACATTCATCGTTATAATAACTTTATGAGCTGGGTACTATTATCCTCATTTTACAGATGAAGAAAGTAAGAGAATTAAATTGCTTATAGTTCAAGGTTACCCCAGCTAGAAATGTTACATATATATGTATGCAAAGGACCTTGAGCAAGAAGGTTATGAGCCAAGGTTGCATTGCTAAGGGACATTGTCAATATGGACTCAAATTTTATCTGACTCTATGTTATTTTTACTGAATCACCCAGTCCCATACCTAAATGACTTACTAAGGTCATAACACAAGTTTACAAGCAGAGCCCAGGTCTTACCTTTAGCTCTCTGGGAAACAGTCCCAGAATGAGTAAAATGTAAACATTGTGAAGTTTTTAGAGGGCATGGTTAGTCTAATTTCATTTGTGTTGAGGTTTTATAGCTTTTTCATTAGTTAGGAAAATTTCATTTGATGGGAGTGCAATGTGTTGTGGTGGTTACAAGCAGAGTTCTCTCATTTACTAGAAGTGGGAACTTGTTTAACCACTCCAGGTCTCAGTTTCCTCATCTATAAAACAGAATTTAGGAAAGGATTGTTGTGAGCCTGTAAGTGCGTAGTATATGGTGGTGGTGGTGGTGTTAGCTGCCGTCGAGTTGACCTCTGACTCATAGACAATAAAAAGAGGATTCTGTTTTTGAGCTACAGTTGTCTTAGGGGGCCAATAGATTATGTTCTGTATTACAAACTCAAACTAGATATTTCAAAATATTGTGAAACTTTAAACTTTCAGAAGTTTAAGGCATAATATCCTTTTAGATTAGGATGTTAGATGGTATAAGATGCATTGGTCTTGTGACTGACGTATTTTGGAAAGTACTTTTGGATCAAAGTCAAGGCACATTTGAATATAATGTAAGAGTGATATGTGACCTGTTTTGAACCTCTTAGTACATTTGAGTACCTGTTAGTACCACTGTCCTCAGTAGTATAGTGGTGAGTATCCCCACCTGTCACACTGGAGACCAGGGTTTGATTTCCTGATGGGGATGCAGATGCCCTTTGGTAACCCTGGTGGCGTAGTGGTTAATAGTTGGCTGCTAACCAAAGGGTCGGCAGTTCTAATCCACCAGGCTATCCTTGGAAAACCCTATGGGGCAGTTCTACTCTGTCCTATAGGGTCACTATGAGTTGGAATCCACTTGACAGCAGTGGGTTTTTCTTAATACATTTTACTCACATTCTGAATCTAAAACCGACGTAATGTCCGTTCTGAATTGGCTGATTCTGATCTTTAGGGTTTTTTTTGGATCTTTGTATTGGCATATGGCCTATGGGCACACTTTGACAACTTTTTTTCTAGCGTGAAAACAGTGATTACCTTTAAGTGACACGCTTAACCAGGGTTCAAAAATGGGCTTATGGAGATCTGTGACTCCTCTAAAATTGTAGGCAAAATTTCATGTGTACCTGTATTTTTTTTTCCCATAAGGAAGAAAACTGGCTTCCATTTCAAAGGGACCATGACAAAAAGTTTGAGTCACCATCTTATAGATTAAATTGATATATGTTAATAACTTGTTATAACTTGAAAAGCCTGTAGCATTTGGCCATATTACTATTTAACTTTCCATCATTAAAAGGCAAAATGAATATATTTAGTGTCTGCAGTGAAAATGCAATGCTTTTTGTAATTCTAATTAATTTTCCTTCTTGTTGAGCAGATGGGAATGGCACCGTGACACCATCTTCAGATGGCCTTCGGTATAATAATCAAACTGTAAGCATATTCCTTCCTGTTTTATTAGCCAGATTCACTTGTGTATGTCTCCCTGGAAGCAAGCTACATGTACAGTCTGCTTCTGCAAGACTATCCCACAAAATTTCTTTAAAAAAGGACAGAAGGAAAGAAAGTATTTGACTCTTCAATTGTTGTTAGTTGCTGTTGAGTCAATTTTGACTCATGGCGACCCCATGTGTTACATAGTAGAACTGCTCTATAGGGTTTTCTTGGCTGTAATCTTAAAGGAAGCAGATTACCAGGTCTATCTTCCATGGTACTACCAGTTCGGTTTGAACCACCAACCTTTAGCTTCACTTGAAATATTCAGTTAGGTAGACCAGTTTGTTAGAGGTGACTTATGAGTGATATATTATTATACATACACACACAAACACTATATAGACTTTCCCCTGGCTAAAAATTGGAAATAAAAAATGAGCTAATTCAAAGACAGTAAGTTAACAGAATATACCAAGGAAGACTTCAATGTATCCTCAGGGAAACAACATGCTTTAAATGAATGAGGTTGAAAGGAAGCCACCCCAATTACACATATAACGCAAGTGAAAGTGTTTATGCTATTACAGCTTAGAGACGTACTTCCTGATACCGTTTTCAACCAAATGACATCCTGTGTAGAAATTTTGATGCCGCTATTGCTTCTTTCTACACATATATCTTCCCATTTGATGACTTATTGAGGTCTTAAGCAACTTTGTGATTCTGTCAGTTCTTGTCCTTTCCCATAGTGTGCTTGAGAAACATCTAAGTAGCTGCAGTCTTATGAAATTGTGCTGTCATCTTTTGAATAAGTTTAACAAACTTGTCAATAGCCACTTCTCCTTTGGCTCTCCTGGGAAAAACAACCTTGCTATTATTATATGCAAGTAACTCTTAGAAGCAACAAACAAAAAGAAGCCGGGCTTATAAGAACAATCCTTAGTGGTGAGAGATGCCAACAGACTATTATAAGGAAAAAATGAAGTCAAAAAGCTCTGACAAGTTGGGGTTATTTAGCGTAGGGCTAAATGGCCTTAACGTTATATGCCGTAGTAGACACCGAAAACACTGCCACACTGGAGTGACAATAAAATAATTTAACACCCTATACAGCATGGCTCCTGACCAATCTGATATGGGCACTGATTGATATGATGGATGTGTGCTGAATTTGTACATACTGGCTAAATATCAGAGCTGAAACTGTGTAAATTGTAATACGATCAGACTTACGCTGGGGAAGAAAACACTCTTGAGTGTGAGGCTGTTCTTGACCTTAGTAACCTGCGGAACAGGTATGTTTAATAGCAAGTAGTAGCAATTTAGAAGCAAGTTCAAGATAGGCAGTAGAGAAGACATGAGCTTTTTTTGTCTTGACCCTGAAGATGTCAGATGTGCACTAGGTATCTTAAAAACATGCAGCATGTATTTTGATCGAATAGGTCAACTTCCTGGAATCTACCTTAAGGAGATAATTGAACAAATACATGAAGATGTAAGAGAAAAATGTTCACTGCTGCTATTTTTAATCATACAAATGTTATAAACAACTTAAATGTTCAGTACTAAGGGATTAATTATTTAATCAATTAAGTATGTCTACATGTTGCCATTAAGAATGCAGTTAATGTGTGAATTTACTAACATGGGAAGATAGTTATAATAGACTGTTAAGTGAAAAAAGCAAGTTTTACAATAGTATATGTTGTTGTTGTTAGGTGCCATCAGGTCAGTTCTGACCCATAGCGACTCTATGTACAACAGAATGAAACGTTGCCCAGTCCTGCACCATCCCCGCCATTGTTGCTATGTTTGAGCCCATTGTTGCAGCCACTGTGTTAATCCATCTCGTTGAGGGTCTTCCTTTTTTTCTCTGACCTTCTACTTTACCAAGTATGATGTCCTTCTCCAGGAACTGGTCCCTCCTGATAACATGTACAAGGTATGTGAGACAAAGTCTCACCATCCTTGCTTCTAAGAAGCATTCTGGCTGTACTTCTTCCAAGACAGATTTGTTCATTCTTCTGCAAGTCTATGGTATATTCAATATTCTTTGCCAGCACCATAATTCAGAGGCATCAATTCTTCTTCAGTCTTCTTAATTGTCCAGCTTTCATGTGCATATGAGGTGGTTGAAAATACCATGGCTTGGGTCAGGTGCACCTTAGTCCTCAAAGTGTTATCTTTGCTTTTTAATGCTTTAAAGAGGTCTTTTGAAGCAGATTTGCCCAATGCAGTATGTCATTTGGTTTCTTGACTGCTGTTTCCATGGGTGTTGATTGTGGATCCAAGTAAAATGAAATCCTTGACAACTTCAGTATTTTCTCTGTTTGTCATGATGTTGCTTATTGGTCCAGTTGTGAAGATTTTTGTTTTCTTTATGTTGAGGCATAATCCATACTGAAGGCTGTAGTTGCCTCCTTAGCACATTAGGCAGTGCATCAACCTCATAATCTGATTGTCCAGAATTGGAACCTCAGAGGAGGCAACAATGGTATATAAAAAAAAACCCCAAACCAAACCCGTTGCCACTGAGTCGATTCTGACTCCTAGTGACCCTGTAGGATAGAGTAGAACTGCCCCATAGGGTTTCTGAAGGGCAGCTGGGGGATTCGAACTTCTGACCTTTTGGTTAGCATCCGAACTCTTAACCACTATGCCACCAGGGCTCCAAATGGTGTATGGTACTGAAAAACAAAAACAAAAAAACCAAGTCTATTGCTGTGGAGTCAATTCTTACTCATGGTGATCCCATGTGTCACAGAGTAGAACTCCAGGAAGATGTATGCTCCATAGGGTTTTCTTAGCTGTAATCTTTGCAGAAGCGGTTTACCAGGCCTTTCTTCCGTGGAGTCACTGGGGGGTTCCAACTGCCATCCTTTAGGTTAACAGCCAATCACAAACCACTTGCATCACCCAAGCTCCTATATAGTATTTATACTATAGTATATATGTTATACAGTAGTTGTTTTTGTTAAGAAACCCTTAGAAGGATAAAATTCTAGAAGGATATATAAAGCAACGTAGTAATAGTGGCTATTTCTGAATGTTAGAATTATGGTTGATTTTCCTTTTCCTTTATGCTTAGCTGCATTTTCTAAAATGAACATGTAGTTTTTGTGTAATATATTTTAAAATAGAATGAAAGCAAAGCCTGACTCCTACAATCCCATGCTCTGTCTAACCACTTTACCCCCCATAGGTAAGGTAGTAAGAACATAACTTTTCCTTTCCAGACACTGGCCGTGCCCTCTTGAAACAAGGCTCACTCAGATGTCATATTTATTGTCTTTGGGTGCTGTTGAGTCGATTTCGACTCATAGTGACCCTATATGACAGAGTAGAACTGCCCCATAGGGTTTCCTAGGCTGTAATCTTTACAGAAGCAGACTGCCACATCTTTCTTATGTGGAGCGGCTGGTGGATTTGAACAGACTACCTTTTGGTTAGCAGCTGAGCACTTAACCACTGAGCCACCAGGGCTACTTCGATGTCACCTTACCCTCCTCTGTATTCCTCATAGTGTTTATGAGGAAACACCTTAAAGTACCTTTCTCAAGAACTGTATTTAATCTGTACTTTACAGACACAGAAACAGAGGTTCAGGGAGGTTAAACAACTTGTCCAGGGTCACGCAGCGAGTAAGTAGAAGAGCTAGGATTGTAACTCCAGGATTGACTTTTGCCCGAGAAGAGAATAGATACTTCCCTCTCTGATCCTTCACTTTCTGTAAAATACCTACTCTATAGGAAACCTTTAGGATTAGAGTTAAGCTATATAAAGGGGTCTAGCATGAGAGCTGGCACTTTTCAGCTTTATTCTGGAAGGTGGTGATCTCTTATGATATGCAAGGGATTTAAACAAATTTTGCACTCCTACCTGGTTGCACAGCATTAAATTGTTAATCAGGTCCATGTCTGTGAGCAGCTACTTTCAAGTCTATTTCTATAGACTTAGACAAAAACACTGTATTACAGTTAAAAGAACTAATATGTACCATAACCCAGAACCAAATTCAGAAATTGAGCACGTTCAGATAGTATCAGTTAACATCACAGACAATTTATATATGAACTAAAAGTAATTTTTTTTCAATATCATAAACCCAAACCAGTTGCTATCAAGTCAATTCCAACTCTTGGAGACCCCATGTGTTTCAGAGTAGAACTGCTGCATAGGATTTTCAAGGCTGTGACCTTTCAGAAACAGAGGACTGTCTTCTGAGGCGCCTCTGGGTGGGTTTGAACCACCATCCTCTTGGTTAGTAGCCCAGCGCTTAACCATTTGTGCCACCCAGGGATTTTTTTCAATATCATGGGAGTATGTATTTATGGAACCAACTTATTGATTTTTTCTTTTTAAAACTTTTTTTTTACTTTATTAAAGAATAATTTACATACAATAAATAGTATCCATTTTGAGTGTACAGTTTGCGTTTTGACAAATATATACACTTACGTAAACACTACCCCAAGCAAGATATAAAACATTCCATCATCCCCAAAAATGTTGTAAATTTCAAATTGTCTTAGAATTTCACCACATGGTCACAACCTCAGGCTGTTTGTTCTTACCCTGGATGTTCCAGAGGTACCCAAGGGCCAAAAAGATCATTGTGTGTGGGGAAGTTATTCTAGGAAATGTTCTCTATCCGTAACTCTAACCAGATGTTTTTCAATTGCTGATGTTTCCTTAGGAAGTGCCCTTGGCACAAAAGACACAGATGACTACAGCTAAGAAAATCTACATTGGAATCGGTATTTTTGCTGCAGTGCTGCTCAGTATTTTGGTTGTCTTGATTATCAAAAGTAAGTCATTTCAGGAGTGTGCCTAAAGGAATAGAACAAGGGCTTTAAAGTCAAACTGCCTGGGCTCAAGCATCTCTGACTCTTTCGAGCCATGTGATTTTTATTTCACATTAACATCCCTGTAACCCAATAGCCTCATCTATAAAATGCACGTGGTAATACAACCTGCCTCAAGGTGGACGTGAGGTTTAAATCAGGGCTTCACACTGGTTCATTCTGCTTCAATCGCCTGCTGAGAATTTGCATTTCCATCTCAGATGTAGTGAATCAGAATCTACATTTTAACAAACTCTCCTGATGATTCTTATGTATATGTGTTAATTTTTTTTTTAAAACAAGATCCCCTAGGTGATTCTTATGTATACCTGGGAATATTATTAAAATGTAGATTCTGATTCAGTACATCTAGGGTGGAAATGCAAAATCTCAGCAGGGGATAGGAGTGGAATGAAGTGGTTCAAAGCCCTGGTTTAAATGAGTTAGCACCTGCAAAACTCTGAGGATAGTGCCTGGCACATTGTAAGGGCACAGCAATCATAAACTGCTGTTATTGTATTTAGAAAAAATCCTTTTTGCCGTGAACCTCTGGAAATATAATTGAAGATAAGGAAGAGCAATCAGTCTATAGATAACTGTTTTAGAACTGGAAAGGATCTTGATCGAATAATACAATGACTACACATGAGAATCAACTGGTATTGAGTAGAAGGCTTAAAGCAAATCTATGCCCCCATCCAGGCCTGAATTAGAATTTCCAGGGGAGGACCTGGAAATCTACATTTTAAAGCTCCCTAAGTCTTAGGAAAGGAGGCCTGGTGGTATAGTGGTTAGGCACCTGGCTGCTAACTGAAAGATTGGCAGCTCAAACCCACCGGTTGCTTCGGAGGAGAAAGATGTGGTAATCTGCTTCTGCAAAGATTAAGCCTTGGAAACCCTTTGGGGCAGTACTACTCTGTCCTATAGGGTCGCTATTAGAATTGACGGCAATAGGTTTGAGGTTTTTGGGTTTAACCCCCCGGTGATTCTGATGATCGTGTTAGTTGGAGTTGGAACCATTCATTCAGCTGCATGCCGGGAACTCCTAGGACACTGGCTGTCTCATGAAGCTTATATTCTAGTGACGTTTATATTTGACTCCAGTGTTTCTCAGCCATTTTTTTTCTCCCCTTTTTTTCACCCCTTAGGACGGCCCCACCTAAGACCTGGCAATCGGCTTTGGTAAAGATTATAGCCAAGAAAACCCTATGAGGCAGTTCTACTCTGTTACATGGGGTCACTATGGGTCAAAATTGACTCAACAAAAACAATAATAAGGAGAAAAAATAAATTTCAATTTTCTCTAAAGGAAAGAAATTAAATACTAAGAAATGAGTTTGTCAGGTAGATTTGAGCTTTGGAGGACCACAAACCATTGGAATATGTAAGATATTTTTTGCACCCCTACCTTCCCTCAAACCATTCTACTGCCTCCTGGGTCATATTGTGAGGACTGCATGTTCTACACTCACCTATTTAACTGGGAGGCAGGCAAGACTCTGGGAGAAGAAATTGATTGCAGAGCTAGGACTATAATAAAAAAATAAAAAAATAAACCAGTTGCTGTCACATCAGTTTCGACTTGTGGTGACCCCACATGTGTCAGAGTAGAAATGTGCCCCATAGGGGTTTCAATGGCTTATTTTTTGGAAGTAGATCGCCAGGCCTGTCTTCCAAGGCACCTCTGGACTGACTCAAACCTCCAATTGTTTGGTAAGCAGCTGAGTGTATTAACCATTTGCAACACCCAGGATTAGAATAAAAGATTTCAAAAGGCAGCCATTCAAGGTTCTATACCTTCTCTCCTTTCCCAACCCCCAGTTGTATGTGTGTGTGTGTGTTTCTCTCTACTATAATCTACCGTCCCCTATGAAGGAACTATTTTTAAAGATACCATAGATAAATTTATGACTGATCCGTTTCTTTCATCTGTCTGTGCAGAGGAGAGTCAGAAAATGAGTACTCTTTGGTAATTTGAGAAACGGTTTCCACATAATTATTTAGAACTTGGTTAGTCAAAGTTATTATTCAGAAATTGGGTAAAATATCTCAATTCTACTTCCTTCCCTAACAAAACAACTATTTCTCTCTTAAGGAGGAGGGGATGACTAGGAGTATAGAATTTGTCAAAGGTATTTTATAACAGAGATGACTTTTGTTATGACTTTATGTGTCACTTTTCTTGGGACAATCCTAGTTTATTCCAGTTATCTGGCAGCTGTCTAAAAAATCCTAGTTTTTTTCGTTTTCAAAAATGAAATATAATTATTAATAATTAGCTTAAAGTAAGCCCAGATATAGTGCCGGAAGATGAGCCCCTCAGGTTGGAAGGCACTCAAAATATGACTGGGGGAGAGCTGCCTCCTCAGAGTAAGTCGACCTTAATGATGTGGATGGAATCAAGCTTTTGGGCCCTTCATTTGCTGATGTGGCATGACTCAAAATAAGAAGAAACAGCTGTAAACATCCATTAATAATCGGAAAGTGGAATATATGAAGTATGAATCTAGGAAAATAGTAAATCATCAAAAATGAAATGGAACGCATAAACATCAATATCCTAGGCATTAGTGAGCTGAAATGGACTGGTATTGGCCATTTTGAATCAGACAATCATATGGTCTACTATGCTGGGAATGAGAACTTGAAGAGGAAAGGCGTTGTACTCATCATCAAAAAGAATATTTCAAGATCTATCCTGAAGTACAACGCTGTCAGTGATAGGATCATATCCATATGCCTACAAGGAAGACCAGTTAATACGACTATTATTCAAATTTACACACCGAACACTAAGCCCAAAGATAAAGAAATTGAAGATTTTTACCAACTTCTGCAGTCTGAAATTGATCGAACATGTAATCAGGATGCATTGATAATTACTGGTGAATAGAATGCAAAAGTTGGAAACAAAGAAGAAGGATCGGTAGTTGGAAAATATGGCCTTGGTGATAGAAATGATGCAGGAGATCCATGATAGAATTTTGCAAGACCAACGACTTCTTCATTGCAAATACCTTTTTCACCAACATAAATAGCAATTATACATGTGGACCTTACCAGATGGAATACACAGGAATCAAATCGACTACATCTGTGGAAAGAGACCATGTAGAAGTTCAATATCATCAGTCAGAACAAGGCCAGGGGCTGATTGTGACACAGACCATCAATTGCTCATATGCAAGTTCAAGTTGAAACTGAAGAAAATTACAAGTCCATGAGAGCCAAAGGACAACCTTGAGTATATCCCACCTGAATTTAGAGATCATCTCAAGAATAGATTTGAAGTGTTGAACACTAATGACATCAAGGACATCATAAATGAAGAAAGCAAGAGGTCATTAAAAAGACAGGAAAGAAAGAAAAGACCAAAATGAATGTCAGAGGAGACTCTGAAACTTGCTCATGAACGTCAAGTAGCTAAAGCGAAAGGAAGAAATGATGAGGTAAAAGAGCTGAACAGAAGATTCCCAAGGGCAGCTCGAGAAGACAAAGTAGTATAACGACATGTGCAAAGACCTGGAGATAGAAAACCAAAGGGGAAGAACACACTTGGCATTTCTCAAGCTGAAAGAACTGAAGAAAAAATTCAAGCCTTGAGTTGCAATACTGAAGAATTCTACAGGGAAATTATTAAACAACACAGGAAGCATCAAAAACAGATGGAAGGAATACACAGAGTCACTCTACCAAAAAGAACTGGTCGAATTTCTACCATTTCAGGAAGTAGCGTATGATTAGGAACCAATGGTACTGAAGGAAGAAGTCCAAGCTGCTCTGAAGGCATTAGTGAAAAACAAGGCTCCAGGAATTGACTGAATATCAGTCAACAAACAGATGTAGCGCTGGAAGTGTTCACTTGTCTATGCCAAGAAAATTGGAAGACAGCTCCCTGGCCAACCAAAAAAAGTGATCCAACTGAATGTGGAAATTACCAAACGATATCATTAATATCACACTCAAGTAAAATTTTGCTGAAGATCATTCAAAAGTAGCTGCAGCAGGATATCGACAGCAAAATGCCAGAAATTCAAGCTGGATTTGGAAGAGGACTTGGAACCAGGGATATCATTGCTGATGTCAAATGGATCCTGGCTGAAAGCAGAGAATACCGGAAAGACATTTACCTGTGTTTTATTGACTAGGAAAAGGCATTTGACTGTGTGGATCGTAACAAATTATGGATAGCATTGCAAAGAACGGGAATTCCAGAACACTTAACTGTGTTCATGAGGAGCCTGTACATAGATCAAGAGGCAGTTGTTGGAACAAAACAAGGGGATAGTGTATGGTTTAAAGTCAAGAAAGGTGTGCATCAGGGTTATATCCTTTCACCATACTTATTCAATATGTATGCTGAGCAAATAATCCGAGAAGGTGGACTATATGAAGAAGAATGGGGCCTCAGGATTGGAGGAAGACTCATTAACAGCCTGCGTTATGCAGATGACACAACCTTGCTTGCTTAAATGGAAGAGGACTTGAAGCACTTACTGACGAAGATCAAAGACCACAGCCTTCAGTATGGATTACGCCTCAACATAAAATAAAAGTCCTCACAACTGGATCAGTTAGCAACATCATGATAAATGGAGAAAATACTGAGGTTGTCAAGGATTTCGTTTTACTTGGATCCACAATCAACACCCATGGAAGCAGCAGTCAAGAAATCAAAAGACACATTGCATTGGGCAAATCTGCTGCAAAAGACCTCTTTAAAGTGTTGAAAAGCAAAGATGTCACCTTGAAGACTAAGGTGCGCCTGACCCAAGCCATGGTGTTTTCAATTGCCTCATATGCATGTGAAAGCTGGACAATGAATAGGGAAGACTGAAGAAGAATTGATGCCTTTGAATTTTGGTGTTGGAGAAGAATAGCAAATATATCATGGACTACCAAAAGAACAAACAAATCAGTCTTGGAAGAAGTACAACCAGAATGCTCCTTAGAAGCAAGGATGGTGAGACTACGTCTCACATACTTTCGACATGTTATCAGGAGGGATCAGTCCCTGGAGAAGGACATCATGCTTGGTAAAGTAGAGGGTCAGCAAAAAAGAGGCAGACCATCAACGACATGGATTGACACAGTGGCTGCAAGTATGGGCTCAAGTATAACAACAATTGTGAGAATGGCACAGGACTGGGTAGTGTTTCTTCTGTTGTACATAGGGTCGCTATGAGTCAGAACTGACTCAACGGCACCTAACAACAACAGATGTATGGATGTATATACCAAAGCATTAATGAAAAAGAGATACTTTACAATCAGGATGTCAGTTGGGTCCTACAGATTCAAAAGGGAATTGCAGGTGTTACTCAAGTTTTTAGGGAAACGTCTCTTTTTCTTTTTTAAAACATTCTTTCTTAGTTCTACATTTAATTCTTTCAGGCTCTGGTTTCTGTACAGAATTATATGTTCATATTAAAGTAATCACAGAAATAATATTCTTATTTGGAAGAAGGTATTATAAACACTTTTGCTGATATGTTTAATTTTCTTTTCAATTCTTCTCCAATATAGGGTGTTTATACACGAGAAATAAGCTGCAGCAACTAAGGTAAGTTTGAAAGTGTTTGTGTTGACACCTTTTAGTGTTCCTACTCTAGGAAAAATGAAGAGAAATACTTGTTCCCCTTTCTCTTTTTCTTCTGTAGTTTCCAGTTTATACTCTGGATCCTGAGAATCTAGTTTAAATTGTCCACACTTACCAGTGATATTACTAGCTTTCTGTATTTTCTGCTACTGAAGGAGAACCTCAATCCTAGCCTCTTACAGCAAGAGAACTAAACTGCACATTTTGCTTGATGGAACTGAACATTTGAATGAGTTGTTTGGTTTATTCTTTCATTCCATTCAGTGCCATGTTTATTGAATGCCTACTACATTCCAGAGAGATGAACAAAACAGACAGAAAACATATAAGCAAATAAGCAAGGTACTTTTAGGTGCTTCTAGATAAACACCATTAGGAATATAGAACAGGTTAATGGACTGTTTGAGTGATCCCTGAAGGAGCAGACAGTAGTTCTGCAGAGATCCTATAAGACGATTCCAGGCTGAAGGTGCAGGAAGTGCAAAGGCCCTCCGGTGGCGCACATACCTCCAGTTTTCCATAGTTGCCAGCATTCCCCTCTGCTATACACCCACACTACTCCGCTCACTTACATTAGCTGTCTGGCCTGTAGGCATTTGAATTCACAATCTTTGTTGAGATCTTTTGTCCACCCTGCTGCCCAATTAAAACTTAAATCCCCTCTACTGCCTCCATTTAGTGGGGTTCATATGCCTGAATATCTATAATGGTGGGAAACAACTACTTCCAAGGCCAGCTAGCCTGCTACACTGGGACCAGCTTGGATTTCCTTAAATTGACTCAAAATCCTTCCCTCTTTGGCTGCCATTCATTTTCCTATCTCCTTTGCCAGATGTTTGTATACAGACCCTCAAGTGTCCAAGTTAATTACATGAGCCAATACATAGAATGTGTTTTGAATAGTGCCTAACATATCATAAGCGCTCGGTAAATGTTGGTTTTTATCACTGGAATCATGTGCTTCACAGCAATAAACCTATGAGATAGGTACTATTATTATTCCCATTTTACAGATTGGAAAACACATTCACATTTAAGGTCACACTATAAAGCAGAAAGAGGACTCAATCTCAGGTCTTCTGGATTCCAAAACCCATGCTGTTTTTACTGCCTCTGAGAATGGGAAAAAATAAACAAACAAACAAACAAAAAACCAATTCTTTATAGGCAGAAAAACATGGAACATAGCATCCTTTTAGTTACTTAATTTCTGTTCTTGCACTCTTATCTGTTTTAAAAGGTTCTTTTTTTATCACCTAATTATAAAGGAAAAAATATCTATTGTAGAAAATGTTGGAAAGTATCAAAAAGAGGAACAGAATGTAGCACTTACATTATGAGCATTTCCTCATGACATTATCTTTTTGGCATTTACATCACACTGACTTATTTTGAGCTTACTGACACCTAAAACCCAACCCGAACCAAACCCAATGCCGTTGAGTCAATTCCGACTCACAGCGGCCGTATAGGACAGCGTAGAACTGCCCCATGGGGTTTCCAAAGCTGTAAATCTTTATGGAAGCAAACTGCCACATCTTTCTCCTGTAGAGCAGCTATTGAGTTTGAACTGCTACCCTTTTGGTTACAGCCAAATGCTTTAACCCCACCAGGGCTCCTATTGACACCTGACCCAAGTGTTTTTCACACATGAATGACTGATCCATTTATGAGTCATAAAGAAACTTTATTTTTGTCTCTCATGTCCCTTTAAATGTACTTAGTGGGGGCTTGTTCTTCCTCTGTGGCTGAAGACTCACTCAGTAGGTTCCATAGCCTTTCTGGGTAGTCTTAGGTGATGGAAAGCCACTATTCAAATCACAAAAGACCAGCTCCATCAACACTCTACATGTGACGCTGACTTGTGCTTTTGCTCTTTATTCTAATTTCTGTGAAACCCAGACATCAGTCCACTGTGACCCCCCAAACTGCAGGGGATACAGGATAATCTCTCCAAGCAGTCCCACCAAAACACCTCTCTCATAGCAGCTCTAAATATTAGTCCAAAATATTAGTCCGTTGATCTCCTGCCTGACACTTTTGTCTCCTAGGAGTGTGTGAGTGTGTATCTATGCTATAAAAGTCATCTAACTGATGGGTTTGAAATTTTTTACCATGAGACACAAAGATTTTGACACCATGATTCAGTACACATTTCTGTGAAAAAATACTATTTTAACTACATCCAATATAGTCTGCTACTTTTCCATGTTTTTCTTAAGTGCAGGATGTGGCCCACGAAGTAGATTTAATGCCCTTCTCTAAAGGGTCACAATCAACAGTTGGAAAATATCAGTCAAACTAGTTCTTAGTCACCTTTGAAATTTGGTACTTCAGTTTGACGTCTGTCGTAGTTATCTAGTGCTGCTATAAAAGAAATAGCACAAAGTGGGTGGCTTTAAATTTGTTTTCTCAGTTTAAGAGGTTAGAAGTCTGATTTCAGGGTTTCGACTCTAGGGGAAGGCTTTCTCTCTCTGTCGGTTCTGGCAGAAAGACCTTGTCTCTTCAGTTTGTTTCTTGGTTCCTTGGCGATCTCCATATGGCTTGCCATCAATCTTCCCCCATCTCTCTTCTGCTTGCTTATTTAATCTCTTTTATATCATATGCTACATTATCCTCTCTCATTAACATAACAAAGACAATCCATTCCCAAATGCGATTATAACCACAGGCATAGAGGTTAGGATTTACAACACATATTTTCTGGGGACAATTCAGTCCATAATAGTGTCTGATATCTGTCTTTTTATGTTATCCATTTTGGTATTCTATTACATGAGTCTCCTGAAGGAGTCCAATCTAATTAGGTTGTCTACCTGATTATTAAACTTTTCTGCAATTTAATACGTAGGGCCACTATTTTCACAACCCCAGAGGGTGCTATTCATTCATAGTCTAAGTGAATAGAGCTTGGAGTGGCAAATACTCATCTTGAGTGATCATAAACAAAAGTGCTGCTCATACTTTAGAATTGGTCTGTTCTTTCCGTTACTCATTGTTTTCTTTAACTCTTTCTACAGAGCAGTTTCATTTAACAGCCCTCAAATTGGAGCTTTACAGAGTGCAGCTGAGGAGGGCGTCCGAGCAGAAGACAATGTCTATATTATTGAGGAGGATGTTTATGTCATGTATTAAGACCCACTGGCCCTGCAGGGGCTTTATCAGGACTGCAGAAGACACAGATGAGCTGTCCTCGTGTCAGACTTCTAAGCTCCAGGGCTATTTTTCTGTGTCACTTTCACCTGGCATCCAACATGTCAGGTGGCATTTGGTACTATGACTCTCTAGCTCAAATCTGTGTACCGTCAACCCCATTGGTGATATAGTCTTTTTTTTTTTTAACTTTAAGACTGGCTCAAATATTCCGGTCATCACAGAGCTTTTTCTCAAACACAAAAGTTTTAGAATCATATATTCTCTTTAAAAAACCTGTTGCTGTACAGTCAATTCCGACTCATATCAACACTATAGGACAAAATAGAACCACCCCATAGGGTTTCCAAGGCTGTAATCTTTATGGAAGCTGACTACCACATATTTCTCCCTCGGAGCAGCTGGTCGGTTCAAACTGCTGACCTTTTGGTTAGCAGCCAAGCACTTAACCACTGCGTCATTAGGTCTCCTCCATATTCTCTTTAGACCCCATGAATTCTGTATCCATCAAAGAAAAGACTCACTGGGAAAACAGGAAATGAACTTCTTTCTTGGTCACTGAAGATGTCAAAGAAGAGAGGAATAGGATTTAAAATCAGCAAATTCTACTGGGGACTTAAAAGAGCTTCACCTGGAAGCATTTCATGACACTCTGGTTTTTGTTTTTTTTTTTTTTTCCTGTTTTGGTCTTGTGACTCCAACAGTTGCATTTTCTAGATTCCCCTGAGGGTTTCAAATCATGAGGTTGCAAAGGTTTTTATTTCCCTCATGGGGAGATAGAGATGAGTCTCATTTCACCACTGTAGGTCAATCTGGCTCCTCATCTTGGTTCTGGAAATATGAGGCATCAGGGGCTTTCCCTGGGACCAGCATAAGTATTTTAGCAGTTAGAAGAAGCTAGAAAATCACAATTACCATGGGTAATTTCTGGTGCCATCATCAGTTTGTTGGGTAGTGAGTATGGACCACGTAGACAGCAGGGGAAGAGAATCAATTGCCATGCCATTCAACACATTTATGGTATGTCTGCTATGCCTGGGCCACAGTGCTACCCACTATACAGACAGTCGTATGGCTCTCTGAAATAATTTTTAGAATGAGGCGGGGAAGAAATGAAAGCCAGGAAAAAAAAAAAAAGGGAGGGAGTAGGGAAAAGGGCTTTCTGCCTTATTAAAGACTCTAGAAAAATTATTTTACATATATAATAGCATTTTGCTTGAGAGTGTCACTAGTTCCAATCAAAATTCTAAATTTCTAAAATATCCCCTCCCCAAGGCACTTTGGTACTTAAAATTGTTCAGAAGGATGAAGGATCGTTTACCTGATCAATTCCAATGCTATCTTTTCCCAAGAGTCAATTAAATTTTGGGTTTTGCCAAAGAAGTCCAACAAAGGCTTATTGTAACTACATCTCAGTCACCAGTTTGATCGTTCAGAAATGTGGTAGACTCTTTTTCACATCAGTTTCCAAGGACAAGGGTTATCAGAAGAGAAACATTCCTACTTGGACAGTTAACAAGGCTGGGGCAAATTTACATTTCAATTGGAGTAAACCCTATGATGATTCATTCTTGGGGTTCAGAGCTACTCACGCTACGGTGGTCTAGGAGGGCAGGATGCTTGCTTTCTAAGGCAACATTTTCTACACTGTTCTGCAGAGTTCTAGGAAATGAATAGGTCCTCTATGAATAAAGATTCTACGGGAAAATAAGACTGGGAACGTTGTATACCGAATTTCCCAACGGGGCTAGCCTCATTTTCTACACATGTATTTTGTTCAGTCTACAGTGTTTTCTTTCTTTAGCCAATATGCATAAACCTGGAATTTTAAAATTAAAACCCAGATGTGTAGCCTTTCTGAATAGGCCCTCTGCATAGCACAAGGGGCTATATTCTGAAGTGGTTGGGGGCCCTTTAGATGGGGTCACACCCTCTAGTCCACCAGAACCCCACCTCCTCACCCCAGGACCTGCCACATTTACTTTGTTACATGCCTGGTGTTTGTGACGCCTGCTTGTTCTCCATCACCTTCCTGGAGACCTGCGATGCATGTTAAAGGCTCTGGGAATCTAGTTAACTTTGTTTAATCCAGCGTTTCCAAAACTTGTTTGAGCATATGACACTTATTCATGGCACACCCACTAGCATTCTGTGCCAGAATATATCGGTGCTTGGGAGGAAATGGGCAACAGACAGGTTTAGGAATAAGAAGACCTGGGTTCTAATCCTAACTCATCTAACAGTAACACTCACCAGCTGACATCGGGGCAAATTGTTCTTTATGCCTAAGTTTTTTCATCTGATAGAGATGATTGTTTCCATACCTACCTTAAAGTATAGTGATAAATTCCAATGAGATGGTACTTGTTAAAAATCTTAGAAAAGTAAACACTACAGAAATGAAACGTTGTTTTGTTTCTTTTTTCCAGTAGAGTTATAGTAACAGCAGACCTAGCATTAATGCTCAATAAATAATTTCAATGGTGTTGCACTCATAAGTCTCTTGCTATATTGCACCTCCTTTTTTTTAATATTTCTTTTTTGAAAAAGTTAATGTTCGGTTATTTGTCTCTCATACTGTTGTTGCTGGATCAAGAAGTAAAAATTTATCAATAGTTGAGCAGGAAGAATGGGTAAGAGGGAAGGACAGGGAGGTATTTGGTTAATTATATGAACTTCTTTTCTGTAAATATATCAATCTTGTAGAATGTGTTGAATATTTTTTTTTCCATTTTTGATACTGCGAAACACAATTAAGATTCCGTTATCTACAATCTGTCTTGGGCCATTAGGACACTGGTGTAATTAAGACTGTGTATTTAAGCTTAAGTAATTTTGCACAGCTTTGAGAAACAGCAGAACCAGTCTTTCACTGAGGACTGTAAAGATGGTTGGAATAAGTTCTGAGTACGCCAAAGCGTGAGGGGATCTTGGTGACTGCCTAGTTTCATTTGTATGTACACTCATTAATAAAAGATGTTTCATTTTGAAAACTGACTGCTATTTTCTCTGGTTTATCAGTTACTCTGGGCCAGGTGTCTTCAACTTACGGTCTCACAGGACAGAGTTACAGCAGGTCAAATGTATTGAGAGTTTAGATGTGCCAGGGAGTCTCCTAGGTGCTGAGATGTAGCAGAAGGATCCTGAACTTCAGTTACCAAGGACCTCCAATTTAGTAGGAGAGGAACACAAAAACCACTATTGCAGGTACTGATTAATGCTACAAAGATGATAAGAGAGAATGTGATATCAGGACCAGGCAGTGTTTTGCTCTGTTGTACATAAAGGATCGCTATGAGTTGGAAGTGACTCGATGACACCTAACAACTCAGTTGTGGCACTGACAGGTGGGAAGACATAATTCTTTGTTGTAGAGGAGCTGTCCTGTACATTATAGATTATTGAGCAGCATCCCTGTCCTCTACCCCTTAGATGCTAATAACACCCTAAGCCCCTTGTTGTGACAGCCCCAAATGTCTCCAAACATTGCAAAATATCCCCTGAGGGGCAAAATTACCACTGCTATACAGGTGCCTGGGGGAGGATGGGTGGGGAATGGTGCAGCTTTCGCTAGGTTGGTCAGGGGCCCTCTTTGGGAAAGAGGTGACATTTAAGTCGAAACAGGAAGGATGAGTAAGCAGCAGCCACATGAAGATCTGGTAGCAAGAAGCCCCCAAATGCAAAAGCCCTGCAGCAAGAAGAAGCTTGTGTATTAAGAGCGAGGGAGTTGTGTTCCAAGGACTAGAAGAAGTTAATGTAGCTTGAGCAATCTAACCTATCTTCATAACCTTTGTCATGCTCAGATTGCCATTTTGCGAGTATTTCTCAAACTGCTTTAGATTAATTAACTTTAAAGTTTTAGTCATCCTAGATAATATCCAAGGAGCCCTGATTGTGCAAGAGTTAAACACTCCACTGCTAACCTAAAGGTCAGCGGTTCACCCACCAGCAGCTCTGCAGGACAAAGATGTGGCAGTCTGCTTCCATAAAGATTACAGCCTAGAAAACCCTATGGGCAGTTCTACTTTGTCACATGGGGTTGCTATGGGTCAGAAGCCACTCGACAGCACCTAACAACAATAACAGATAATATCTGTTCAGTCATGGGTTTGATACATTATTGTTTTTTAAATTAAAACTCATATAACTATATTCCTTCTCCTTCCAGGACTCCTTGTATTAGCCCTGGGGGGCCTCACCAACCCTGTGGAAGGCCTCCATTGCCAGGATGTACCCCTCTGCACCACTCCTTCCCCTACATACCCACTCCTGTCACCCGAAGCAAGCTGCTCTCTGCTCCTCCTCACTCAGGGCACCAAAGTTTGGCTCTGATGGTGTTGGGCCCAGCAACAGCTAAGCACACTCTCCTCAAACTTGCAGCCTTGAGAGGCAGTAGTGGGGCAGGAGCTGAGTTTAGTTGGTCCACAAATGGGTTTTTAAATAGTTATGAGCTTTAATTTAAAAAACAATAATGCATCAAAACCTTGACTGAATGGATATTATCTAGAATGACTAAAAATTTAAATTAATCTAAAGCAATTCGAGTAAATAATGGTAAAAGGGCAGCGTGAGAGTGGCAAAGGTTATGAAGATGTCTGAAGGTGAGGAGGCATTAGGTTGAGTCAGCTGGGAGCTTGTTAAAATGCAGATTCCTGGGCCTACTCCTAGGGCTTCTGATTCAGTGAGATGGGTGGGAACTGACAATTTAATATGTTTGTTTGTTTAAATTGCAGAAAACAAGTGACTGTAGGTTATTTTACATTTAAACAAAAACATTCAGACTTCATTAAAAATAAGTAGAAATAAAAGCATGCAATTGTCCTTCCTTTCTGCTTACTGCAGATGTAAATCTCAGAATTAAAGACAAAAAGTTTATTTTTGGGCTTTGTGGGTATTGCTATGACACTTTGGAAGTGAAATAAAATTCCTCACCCAGAGTCCCCAAAATATAGGAAAACTCTAAAAAATGTTTATATCCTAGTTTTCATAGTCTACTTTGTATAGAAATGTTTTGTCCAGATTCCTAGTGCTCTCTGGAAGGAAAGGAGTGATACCTGTCATTTGGTCCCCCTACTGGTCTCTCTCATCTCACCAAGGTCTTCCTTTGTTGGTTGATTATGAAAAGCTTTGGAGTGTCTCTGGGATACATACCCTCCAAAGGCTTTGTTTCCCATTTGTTTCATGATGACATCAGATTTTCTAAGGAAATACCCATAAAAAATCATTGCTGCATCCACTGCAGAAGTAACGAAAGTCAGCCAAGAATGAGGTGGTGTCCTCTGTAGCCTCGGCATAGAATGTGAGCATGGTGTGTGGGCGGCTGAGGGAGAAAGATACTAATAC